GCTTGGGTCCTTGCGCTTGTGAGGCAGGCAGTGGAACTACTGAGCCAAATCCCTGGCCATATATATATATATATATATTTAATAGTGTCTGGCTTTGCAGTCCAGTATGTAGCCCAGACTGGCCTTGAACTTGTGTCAGTCTTCCTGCCTCAGCCTTCCAAGTGTTAGGATTACAAGCATGCATCACTACGCCCAGTTTATTTTCCCATTTCAAATCATTCTGGAGACTGGAGCAACAACCCTGGAAGGGCAGGCACATGACCTCTGGGGAGACAACAGTCTGAGTTTGCACCTGGCAGTGGGACCGTTTTCCAGGTGTGGCGCTAACTTTCCCAGTGTCCACCCAGCAGTGGGCAGAAGGACCAATAAAGAGCAGAGGTTGCTGCATTGGCTCCCCAACCCCCCGTTGTGAGACTGGGCTGGGAGGGTCTCCTGTGAGGACAGCATGGGAGGAGTGGGTGGCTAGGTAAGGGTAATGGGGGCCTGGGACCTGCCTCATCACACAGGCAGGAGCCCCTTGTCGTGCAGGGTCCTTTGGGGAGTGTATTTGTGACTGTTGTGTTCAGTGTGCATCATCATTTGGCCGTGTGTAGAGGGCCATGTGTTAAAGCTACAGGGCAGTGGTGGAAGCAGTAACGTGGGGGTAGGAGGTGCAGTCCTGCAGTCACCAGGGGTCACCCCCAGCTTGTCCTCTCTGTCAGCTTCCTGGAAAGAGATGTGACCACTGGCTATATGTTCCTGCCATGATGCTGTCCTCAAAAACCGGAGTTGTCTCATTGTGGCCTCGAGGCTTCAGAGACAGGAGCTTGGTGCACCTCCCTTTGCTCCAGGAGAGGCCAGAGTGAGGTGTCACGTCATAGTGACTCGAGGCTGACCTGTGTCTCTGTGCATCTTTGTGTTTATGTACATATGTGTGTTGTGAGTCCTGTATGCCTGTGTAGGATGTAGCATGTTGGTGTGGATAGCACATGTGTTTGTGTATATGTTTATTTTTTGAGGCACTGGGGACCAAATCCAGGGGTGCTCTACCACTGAGCTATACCTCCTGCCCTTCATTTATTTATTTTTATTTTTTGGTACCGGGGATCAAACTCAGGTCCTTGCGCTTGCGAGAGGCAGGCGGTGGAACCACTGAGCTAAATCCCCAGCCCCTAGTTTTGTTTTTTCAGACAGGTTCTCAAAAAACAAAAACAAAAACCACCAAAATAAATTTTAAAAACTTACCCAGCCTGAGCACAGAGTGGTGGCACATACCTGTCACCCCATACTCTGGGAGGCTGAAGCAGGAGGATAGTGAGTTTAAATCCAGCCTGGACAATTTAGCAACTTAGTCTCAAAATAAAACCTTCCAAAAGGGTTGGGGACATAGTTTAGTGCAAAAGTGAGTTCAAGTCCCCAGTACCATCAAAACAAAACACAGCAAACCTGCCCCAGCCCTGTAGCTGAGGATTGACAATTATTAGCCCTTCCTTTTTGTTTTCCTTTTCTTAGTGTCAGCAATGAACCCCAGCATATCATGAATGCTAGGCAAGCACTCACCGCTGACCTGCCCCCGAGTCCCCTTTAGTCTGTTTTCTGTTGCTAATAACTGAATCCACAGTCTGGGTAACCCCCCCCACACACACACACTTACTGAGGATTGAATCCAGCCTTTTTTATTTTTTATTTTCAGACAGGGTCTCATTAAGTCACACTTGAACTTGTGACCCTCCTGCCTCAGCCTCTCAGAGTGCTGGGATGACAGGCATATGCCACTGTGCCTGGCCAGCAGGTTGGTTTTTGTGGCCAAAACTTTTTTTTTTTTCTTGGTACCAGGGATCAAACTTGGGTCCTTGTGCTTGTGAGGCAGTGGGTAGAACCACTGAGCTAAATTCCTGGCCCCTGTGGCCAAACTCTGGACATCTTATTTCTTCAAGGAAGCAGGGGAGGGAGTATGTGTCTATGAAGGCTGCGTTATGTGACCCTGGAGGGGCATCGTCACCTTTGAACAGAGCCTCTACCACACGCCGAGGAGAAGGTGACCATCAGGATGTAAGAGGCACAAGGACCATCCCAGTGTCCATTCACAGCCACCTCTGCCTGTCACATGGCCTGCTGCCCTGTGCCTGAGGGTACACTTAAAATGCCTATCAAAGAATCCATCCAGCCTGGGTGTAGTGGCCTGTCATCTCAGCAGTTGGGAGGCTGAGGCAGGAGGATCACTGTGAGTTCAAGACAAGCCTGGGCTGCATAGTGAGTTCCAGGTCAGTCTCAACTACACAGTGAGACCCTGTCTCAAAAAAAAAAAACTAAAACAAAAACAAAAACAGTCCATCCAAAGCTTTGTGACACACATCTGTCATGCCAGTCATGCCAGTTACTCTGGAGGCTGCGGCAGGAGGATCCCAAGATCAATGCCAGCCTGGGCAACTCAGCAAATCAACAAAATCCTGTCTCAAAATAAAATTTTCAAACAGTGGAGGTGTGGCTCAGTGGTGAGCACTTGCCTAGCATATATGCCAGGCCCTGGGTTGTGTCTCCAGTATTGCAAAAAGTAAAAATACTAATAAACCACCCATTTCATTCTTGCAGCCTAAGGTGACAAGGAAGTGGAAATAAGCCAGGCCAGGGCAGTGGCTGGGCTGAACAGACCTGGGCAACTTTCCACAGAACGTGGCAGCCTGAGATGTGGGGGTGTCCTCTGGGCAGATGAGGCCCATCTGGCACAAAGACATCGGGGGACAGAGCTGGTCAGAACAGCACGTTCCAGCCTGTCTGCATGGCCCAACATTCCTGACACGTGGCCAGGGCCAGTGAATCATTGTGTCAGGAAGCCTGACAGATCCTATGGGGGTTCCCAAGCACGCGTGCGGGTCGGGGGATGGTGGGGGCAGACCATGCTTCTGCTTCCTGATGTCCTCCCTGAGGATGGTCACTGCTGTGCCTCGGTTTCCTTTCCTACCCACCTGGGACTGACAACTGCACGAGGGAGGCCTGGGGTCCCTGGCACTCCTAGGGCCCTGTGTTGGGAACTTACTCTGGGAATTTATTCTGCAAAGCCTAGAAAGGCACTAGAATGGCAAATTCCTGTGGAGATTTTGTTTTGGAACACTAGGATTGAACCCAAGGCCTTCACGTGAGCTCCATACCCAGCCATTTTGGTACAGGGGATGGAACATGGGACCTTGAGCTTTCCAGGCAGGTGGCAGCACCACTGAGCTAAATCCCTGGCCCTAGCCCTTTTTACTTTTTTTTTTTTTTTTGGCTTTTTTGAGGCAGGGTCTCACTATGTAGTTGAGACTGACCTGGAACTCACTATGTAGCCCAGGCTGGACTTGAACTCACAGCGATCCTCCTGCCTCAGCCTCCCAAGTGCTGGGATGACAGGTGTGCGCCACCACGCCCGGCCTGCTTTTTGTTTTTGAGACAGGATCTCACTAGATTGCTAAATTGCCCAGGCTGGATTCAAACTTGTAATCTGCCTGCTTCAGCCTCCTTCATAGCTGGGATCATAGAAGCAGTGATACATGTTCTCCTGCAGCTTCACAGCTTGCAACTGCCCTCCCAGGCTGGTGCTGGAGATCCCAGGGGCCTGTCACAGAGGTCGTACCATTTACAGAGGGGCAGGTGCTATGACGGCCCCAGCCTGAGCTAGTGTGGCATGCAGACAGGGACCCACTGGACATCGTCCCTGGGAGGCAGCCCAGGACTGCAGCTGGATGCCAGAGAGCTGGGCTTGGTGCCCACCAGCCCCTCTCTAGTTCCAGCCTGAACACAACGAAGAGGTAGGCAGGGAAGGGCTGGAGGGTTTGACCACCACACGAGTCCCTGACTGGAGGGTCCAGCTGTGGCAGGGGTCATCTGTCAACTGGTGAGACACCTAGCCAGGCCCTGCCCGTCTCACCCCTTTCCTCATTCCTTGGGCTCCAAGGGGATGTGGACACTCAGAACCTCACATCCTGCCTCAGATGTCATGTCTACCCTGGGGGCTGGAGTGTCCTGCAACTTTCATGTGGACAAAATAAAAGTCAGAGCCGAGTGTGATGGCACATGTCTGTCATCTCAGCACTCTGATAGGCTGAGGCAGGAGGACTGCCAAGTTCAAGCCCAGGCTGGGCAACTCAGCAAGATCTGGTCTCAAAATGAAAAATAAAAAGGGAGCCAGGGATTTAGTTCAGTGGCACCACACCTGCCTCGCAAGTGCAAGGTTGTGAGTTCAATATCCGGTACTAAAAACAAACAAACAAAAAAATTAAAAGGGCTGGTGTCTGGGGGTGTAGCTCAGTGGCACCGAGCCTGCCTGGCAAGCACAAGGCCCTGAGTTCAATCCCTGGTACTGGAAGAAAAAAAAAAAAAAAAAGGACTGGGGATGCAGCTCAGTGCTTTCTGCTCAGGGAAGGTTACTGGGAGGCCGGGTGGGTGGGGTCTCTCTGGGTCTTGGAGTTGGGAACCAGGGAGAGCTGTGGTGGGGGTGGGCTAGAAAACAGGCCTGCGTGAGGCTGATTTCTGAGCACAGGCAGAGCAGCTGTGCCACTGGGACAAGACCTTGGGCAGGGTGGACTGTCCACCTGTTTCCCTATCTGCTAGGTGCGGTGCTGTCAGCTTCCTTGTTCCGGCCCCAAGTCGTTCAGGGGCATACAGGAATGATACGGAACATGGCATCCTTTTAGGGACCAACCTGAGGCTGAGGTGAAGGCTTTTAGCAGGGCTCGGTGGAGATGGTGACTGAGGACGGAAGAGGCCAGTGTTGGGAGAGTGAGGACACGGCCACACACGGCCACAGGAGTTGGGATTTCTGTTTCTTTTTTTTTTTTGGTACCAGGGATCAAACTCAGGTCCTTGTGCTTGCAGGGCAGGCACAGTACCACTGAGCTAAATCTCTGGCCCTCTTTTTTTGTTCTAACCCTAACCCAGGGAGTGCTGAATTACATCCCCAGCCTTTTACTTTGAAAGAGGACCTCACTTAGTGTCCAGACTGGGCTTGTACTTGCATTCCTCCTGCCTCAGCCCCCCAAGGAGCTGGGATGACACCAGGATTCTGTGCTGGAGAACCAGGGAGCCATGGGGTAGCGGAGTGGGGCTCCCCATCTGATGGAATCCACAAGTGCCCCCTGGAGGATGAATCTGGGGCTGTGTTGGTTGAGGCAGCATCTGTGGGCTCCACAGCAAGGCTTACTGTGGGGGTTGGCATGGAGGTTACCTCAGTGCCACCCTAGTGACCAGACACTGGCCATGTGTGCTTGGACCCTCTGACGAATGGATGGCCTGGGGGGACAACACGCACCACAGGCCCAGCCCCCTGCTGGCTCCGATGCAGAAAGATTTATTTCCAGAATATTTTCAGCTAACAAAAACCCACCGCATTGTGACCATGCACATGCGGGGGTGGGGTGGGGGCTGCCAGTGGCCCAGGGGCTCCACTGCCCCAGCGCCCTACAGTCAGGCTGCGACGCCCCCTTGAGGTGTTGGCAGGGACCCAAGGTCCAGTGATCCCAGGCCTATACCTCCCTTTGTTTCCCATGGTGGCTGGTGTGACCTCCAGGAATGGGCAGCTGGGTGCGGAGGGCCTGTGGAGGCCTGGCCAGCAGCACAGAAAGGTCATGGAGAAAAGCTGATTCCCGCCCAAATGTCATTAAAGGTGCTACAGATGCTCCACAGGATGCGCCTGGCTCTTCTGAAAGGGACGCAGCTAGAGAGGCGGGGAGAATAAGTAGTGCTGGCTGCGAGATTCCTCTCTAAGGCACAGGGCTGTCCCCTGCCAGGGGGCAAGGACATCTTCATGGCTCTGCACCCACAGATCCGGGAGAAGGCTCTCTCCATCTGGCTTCTAAGCACAGGGGCCTCTGGGTCCAGTTCACTCTTGTGTGTGGCTGAGATAAGCTGCTCTCAAGAGTCAGGACAAACACCTGCCCCGGGCCTTGGCCGTTTTCAGGATGCAGACACAGGTCTTGCGGAGGGGACCTTGGTCACAGGAGAGGAAGACTGTCTGGCACAGGCAGGACAACAGCGTTCCAACATCGCCGTCCCAGGAGGAGAAGGGCAGGGAGGAAGCCCAGCCAGATGGGGAGCAGCACAGGTCACTGGTGAGGCAGTGGACCCGCCGGGCAGCCTCATCCACGGAGTCATCGCTACATGTGGGACGGGGGACGCCCAGCTCCTCCACCAGCCCAGGAAACAGGTGGGTAGAGGGCGTGACACAAAGCTCGGCATCAGGACCCCTGCATCCTCAGTTCTGCGGAGACGGATGGCTCAGCCAACTGCTACCACCCTCTGTGACCTGGAGATGAAGGTGTGTCTGCCATAGGGACACCGGGCGGCTGAAGGACGAGACGCTTGGGGCCCTGAGTCCCCAGGATGAGATGAACTTGGGCTCTGGCAGTGGCTGGGCCCCCGAGGAGGGCAGGACAGATGCTCAGGCCTCACAGGGGTGGTGGGAGTGGAGGGGCAGTGATGACAGGCAGGTGGGCAGGGCTTGTCCCCCTCTAAGGCCACTGGCTGCCACTGGCTGGGTAGTTGGGCACAGTAGGGTACTCGGGCAGGCTGTTCCCCGAGAAGTTGTTGAACTGGGCCTCTCTCGATGGCGGGTTCCTCCAGGCACCTGTATTCCACTCTGTCTGTGCCTTCTGGAAGCTTCCACCGGCCCCACGATAGATCCTGTGCACCTGTAGCAGGGACGGGACAGCTCAGGGGGTGTCAGGCCTGGGGGTTTCCTCCCCATCACTTCTTTGACAGGAGAACCATGACAACAGGGTGCCCAGGATGGGGACACACAGTCTCTTCCATCCACAGGATACCCCAGCTCTAGGCCACACACACTGTACACTGCCCCTCACACTGCACACTGCCAGCTCCAGGATTCCCCTCAACATGGGTGGACAGCGGGCATTTCCTGTCCTGCGCTGGGCGTGCACTGGACCGGGGGGGGGGTCACAGGTAGCCCTGACCTAGGCAGCACTGCCCATTCACTGCAGACCCCAGCCTCCAGGACATGAGGACACAGTTACAGGCTGTCCTGGACTCATTACTAATGGAACTTCAGGAAATGCAGGAGAGCTGAGTCAGGTCCTCAGAAAAGCCATGTGTGAGTCTGACCTCCTCTCACCCTGCCTCCACCAAGCTCCCTTCCTTCCCTGATGAGCACCTCTACTCCCTGCCAGCTCTGCCAGCCATCGCCATGCAGCCGTGGCCAGCTCCCATTTGTGAGGTGGTAACTGCAGGACAAGTGGCCACCTCTCTAAGGATGGCTTGGGGCACATGGGCAGTCCCTTGGCTAGTCCTGGCACAGGGACACATACACCATGTATACCAGGGGTACCTGCGGTTCCTAATTCGGGAGCACCAGGCTGCAGACCGATCTTCCCAGGGACACTGAGCCCAACCAGCTCTGGTGCCTCCGCCAGCCTGTCTCTCTCCAAGACGGTGTGGTGCAGAGCCACCCTGTAGGCCTGAGGCTGTGTGCTCGGGGCCTGGCCCTCAAGGATCTCACAGAAGAGAAGCCCCTGGGCCTCAACCATTGGTATAAACCATGGGGTTTCTGCTGAGCCATGCTCTCTGCTGGAGTCTGGAGGCTGACGCATGCCAGGCAGAGGAGCCACACGTCCCCCCCAGTGCAGGCACTGGGTCTCTGTGAGCTTCAGTGACATCCCATGCATGTTGTCACAGCCCATCTTTGGGAAGGTGTCCCTGGGAGATGATCCTGAACCCCTGCCTGGTCTCCCTGCCCTTGGCCACCTGGGGTTACGAGGGGAGAGGAGGGAAGGCAGGTGGGACTTCTCAGAACTCACCTTCAAGATCGCAATGGCCATCATGACGGCCGACAGCGAGAACATGATTGCAGGGAGCAACATGACCACGGCAGCGCCGACACTGGTCCCAAAGAACCCGATGGCCGCCAGCCAGCCGCTGCAGGGCAAGAGAGCGTGGGCTTACCTGCCGTCCTCACACGCACCAACCTCTGACACATCACAGGAAGAAGGGGCGGTCATTCGAGGACACACCTATGTAGACACTCAGACCTCCCAGGAAGACATCCTCTTCCCACAACATTGGTGAGCCCACGTGCAAGGGAATGGAGGAAGAAGTGCTGTCCCGTTTGGCATGCTTTGTAGGGGCGAAAAGACCCTAAAGACTCACTCCTTTCACCCCGTGTGTGCTGCACATACAGATCTATGCTAGTGATTGTCAGTAACCATGAGAAACTGGGAATAACACAGGTGTCTGAGGCTGGGACCATGCACGTTACACAGCAAGGAGACATTCAAGATAAGAAGGGTCCAGCACGGAGAAAGCTGAGGCAGGAGGATTGCAAGTTTGAGCCCCAAGGGCTGGAGATGTAGCTCAATGATAGGGCAAACCCTGGGCTCAATCCCCAGTACCATTAAAAAAAAAAAAAAAAAAAAAAAAAAGAGAGGAGCGAAAGCCAGTCTATACAGCAAGATCCACAGAGGCCTCTCTGATCTCTGCCCTGACTCCTCCCCAGCCTGGCCCCCAGGGCTCCTTCCAGGGTTGATACAAACATGCACACTCTTGGCCACATGCATGTGGTACCACCCCCTCCCTGGGCTCCCCAGCCTCTCCTGCTCCACCTGTCCCCAGCCACCCTGACGCTGCTCAGAGTATGCCATGGCAGCACATCTGCAGTTTCCATGGAGTTTTGTTCTTTCTTTATTTAAAAAAGTAAACATCTATTCTGGAATGATTTTGGACTTACAAAAGGGTGGCAGAGATCTCAGGGAGTGACCAGCTATGTCCTCCAATGCACTTCTGGGCAGGGCCTCATGGCCCTGTCTCCAGGGGCCGTGTGGCCCCACCTGTGGCCAGCTGGCCATCCAGCAGCCAGGCCCCCAGTGTCATTTACTGGGCTGTTTCCAGTCCCCAGGGCCCTGCCTGTGGCCCATGACTCTGACCACGAGCAATCAGGCAGGAGTGCTGGCTGAGGGCCCCGAGGGACAAGGGGCTGTCCTACCCTGCCCGATGCAGTGATCCATGTATGGGCACCTCAGCAAATGGTGCATAGCACTGTGCCCTGTGACACACTTTCCCCATCGGCTGAGAGGCTAGGGACTGCCTTCACTCCAAGGCCAAGACTGTCTGTCCGCCCTGTCCAGCTTGGCTGGTGACCACCTGCCCTGTCTCTCAGAAACAACCGATGCTTTGGCATAAGCAGAGCTGGGTGGCTGGTATCTCTGGCATGCAGGGAGGGAGGACAGAGGCGCCTCTCCAGGCCTCCATGAAAGGTACTCACATGTGCTAGGCCCTGGCCACCACGGGTGACCAGCACTAGCCTGCCCTGTCTGCTCCACTCAGGGAGTCAGGGAGGCACTGGAGCAGAGCAGGGAAAGAGGGACCAAAGGTCTGGGCAGCTGAGCAGAGCTCAGCAGCCCAAGGGCTCGCTGGGTACCAAGGGCCATGAAAAGAAGTTACAGCCACTGGTGGCTCTGCACAGCAGGACGCAGTTGCCTCCTGACCATGCCAGCAGTAAGCATTGCTCTCAGGACTCTCTATCAGAGCCACAGTGACAACCCCAAGCCACCTCTTTCGTGAGGACTCGGGGAGGAATGAACAAGCTTCCACATTCCAGTGGTGCCAGGGAGAGACACAGGCATCGGTGGCAGGGGCAGGAGAGGGTGAGAGGGCCTGCACGTGGGGCCCTTGCAAACTTCTGCCCAAGGACAGTGGGGTCTGGGGGCTTAATGAACTCAGAGTTAAACACACCGAAGAACAAGAGCAATGTAAGGCTGAGCGCCTGCCTAGCACTTGAGTCCCTCGGTTCCACCCCCAGCACTGAAAACCATAGATCAGAAGCAAACAGCTAAGCCCAAGGGGGGTGGCAGGTCCAGCAGTGTCCCCAAGAATCAGAGGAAAGCAGCCACAGCACACAAGAACAATGGCAGGGAATGTGGCCATGGGGGACAGGCAGAGTGAGAGAACTACTGCTTGTAGATACAACACGAGAAAACCCCACAGAAGCTGGGTGTGGTGGTGCACACCTGTCACCCCAGCACTTCAGGAGCCGAGGCAGAAGTGCACGCTCCAGCCCAGCCTGGGCCACTAAGCAACTTAGGAAGACCCTGTCTCAAAATAACAAAAATATAAAAGGGCTATACCAGGAATTTGGCTCAGTGATTCCACTGCCTGCCTCGTAAGTGCAAGGGCCCCAGTTCGATCAACAGTACCAAAAAAGGCTGGGGACGTAGCTCAGTGCAAAGGGCCTGGGTTCAATCTCCAATATTAAAAAAAAAAAAAAAAAAAGAAAAAAGAAAGAAAGAAAGAAAAAGAAAACCCCCTAGTAAGGCAGTGCCAATGGCACAGACTCGAGCTGCTCCTGTTGTCTGAGCAAATGCAACAAGAGTCTCCCAGGTCAGGACACCTGTAGCCACTGCTCAGTGCTGGCAAGTCCTCCAGCCCTGGGACACAGAAGGGAGCCTCAGGGAGGCGGAGGTCATGCATCACACTAAGTAATACACCAAGTGCAGAAGATGCCACCTGGGCCAACCCCCTAAAGGTGCTCATGTTCTTATCCCTGGGGGCTGTGGCAATGTCACCCCCATGGCCAAAGGGATTCTGACGATGGGGTCCCGTGAATGACACCGAGAGGGGTCATCCAGGACCATCCAGGGCCCAGTGTCCCTCTGAGAGGGTGCAGGAAGGTGAGAGGCAGAGAAGCTGAAGATACCATGCTGCCGGCTCTGCGGAGGGAGGAAAGGACACAAGCCAAGGGCTGCGGGTCCACTAGGAGCCAGGACCTCAAGACCTGAGCTCAGCCATTAGTTTTATGTCAAGCCATCAAGTTTATGGTCATTTGTTCCACCAGCACCAGAGATCTCAAAGGGGCACTGCCCACCACAAGAACACTTCCATCAAGGACCATGTGACAGGCAGCACCCTCTCAGGGCTGCCCACTTGTGCCATACCTTCCCGTTCCCCCCTGAAAATGGTACACATGCGAACCTCCTATCCCCTCGCATGCAGATGCCTAACGGTAACGCTGAGGCAATGAAGTGCCACCACGGGCCGGAGTCACCCTCACCCACAAGACCAAAGTCCACCCTGGGCTGTGTGCCCAGGGTCTATTTACAACAGCACACAGCTGCACTGGCACACACGCACACACACACACAACTTCTACAATGCTATTTTCTGTACTGGAGACTGGACCTAGGGGCTTCATCCTGAGCAGCACCCCAGCCCATTTCCACAGTTAACATGCACACTCCCCGGCGGCCCAACACGGAGCTTACCACGCGCCCCATCCTGGGAAACCAATAGCCTGGATGACGGTCAGGACAAACTGGGCTCCAAAGATGAAGAAGAATGCCATGAAATTGAAGGAGCTGTCAGCTCTGTGGGAGACAGAAAGAACCGTGATGAAGGCCTGACACTCCCAACAGGAAGGTGCAAGGCCGGAGGGCAGAACAGATTGTCCTACTTTCCACATGCACTGGAAAATGCACAGAATCCCATGAGTCACTGCGCCTGTGCTCAAACTGGGCTCTGAAAGCAGCACCAACACGGTGCCGCTGGAAAGACAGCACAGCCCCCCAGTGCCTTCACTGGGAGACCCCAAGGAGTCCCCTTACCCTGGAGAGGTCCTGGTGGGGACAAGAGGGAGGCACAGAGCTTCTGAGTGCCCAGGGCTATTCCTTCCCTGCATCTTTCCTGCTCCCTGCGGCCCTTGTAATTCACGTCTTACATATTCTTGTAATACATGTCTTACATATTTTTAGGGAGGGCCTCAGGCTCTTCCCAACTTAGTCTGCAGTTCAGGGACAGTGTAGGGGTGAACACGACACAGACCTGAGTGACAGGGTGAGGAGCTGAGGGTAAATGCCCGCAGCAGCCTGACTCAGAATGGGCAACAGTGAAGAGAGCTCCAGTGACCATCAAAGGATCGATGGATGGACATGTAGCTCTTGCTAACTGCACCATGCTGCTGGGGCCACTGTGAGCCCACCTGGCCTCAGGATGGGAGGACAGGACTGTGTGGGGCCACTGCAGATATGGGGAGTGGTTGGGCATACAGGGTGGGGGCAGATGGATGTCCTGAAACTGAGCGGGAGGCTGCCCAGCTGAACCTGAGGGGCATGGCATCCCTGGAACTTTCAGAAACCTGGACTAGGTGTGGTGGTGCACGCCTATAATCCTAGCATTTGGGAAGCTGAGGCAAGAGGAAGGCTGTGAGTTCAAGGCCAGCTCTAGCTACACAGTGAGTTCCAGGCCAGCCTGAACTACATAGTGAGTCCCTGTCTCCAACTCTACTCCCTGTGAAAAAATCCTGGACTGGTGAGAGGCAGGTCACCGCTGCTACCTGGTGCCCACCCCCACATACCCATGCCTGTGCCAGCCCTGCCAGGCTGAGAGAGCAAAGTGGACACTATGTGGTCACACTGCTTAGTGTGTTTCCTGAAGAAGCCATAGAAAGGAGCGAGGCTGAGATACCCACCACAGTGTGGATGGACCTTGAGGATGTTATGCTTAGTGAGAGACACCAGACATAGGAGACACAGTATGGGCTCTGTGGACAGGAAACACCCAGGACAAGTGACTCCAGAGACAGGAAGTGGACTCCAGGGGTACACTGGGGAGGGAACCAGGGACTGCTTGTAGGAATAGATGGGGCTTCTTTTGGGGTGATGACAGTGTTTAAGAAATCGGTAATAGCATTGGCTGGACAGCCTTGTGAATATACTAAAACATTAAGTTGTCCACTTTATGTAGGTGAGCTGTGGGATATGAAGAAAATCTCACCAAAGTTGCTACTGAAATACAAAACAGACCTCCCAGATTTAAAGGCCCAATCCAAAAATGGGCATCTGAAGTGAATAGACACTTCTCAGGTCAAGAAGTAGAAACAGCAGATAGATGTATGAAAAAATGTTCACCATCACTGGCCATTTGAGAGATGCACATTAACACAACACTGAGACTCCATCTCACTCCCGCAAGAATGGCTGCTATCAAGAAATCAACCAGTAACAAATGCTTCCAGGGCTGTGGGGGGGAAAGGACCTTCTCCACTGTTGGTGGAAGTTTAGGCTAGTGCAAGCACTGTGGAAATCAGTGTGGAGATACCTCAAGAAACTAAAACTAGAGGTTCCATTTGACCCAGCTATTCCCCTTGGTATCTTCCCAAAAGGATTAAAAACATCATAACATAGTGATATAAACACACCCATGGTTACAGTGGCATAATTTGTAATAGCTAAATCTTAGAAATAGCCCAAATGCCCATAAACCGATGAATGGTTAAAGATGTGTAATTTTTTTTTTTTTTTTTTTTTTTTTTTTTTTTTTTTCCGGGGTTATACATC